AAAAATCAATTAGCAGCATATTACAGCTTCTCCCACCCGCAAGAAAATCCCTGGGGTCATACAGTTTTCAACTGGCTTGTGGCGTTGATTGCAGTTCCATTTTTCTAAACTTTTTCGTATTAGTTAGAGACCAACAGCATTTAAACAAGAGTGCTTAACTAGTAACTAGTACATATAATTTAATTCTAACACTAATTAAGTACTCATTGAAGTTTAAATCATTTTCCTTAATCATTTTCCAAATGAAAAGTTTGCGATTTTAATTAATATCTTTCCTCATGGGTTTCCTTGGGTAATCTTAATTAACTTAAATGTCTATAAAGTTTGTCTGCTAATTGTGCTTTCCATATTTTATTGCTCATATCCGAGTGTTCATATGGTTATTTGCCCAAATGCGGGCTATAAAAACCCGTAATTTATAAGGTTTACAAGGCAGCAAAATGATGACGCACAAGCCAAAGTTTGTTGCGAATGCAGGGGTGGCTCTTAGGGGGTAAATATGAATGACGAATTACACACTTTAGCTGCCAGGTTGACAGCACCCACTCTCACACACACACACACGCTCGCAGAAAACAGTACAGAATAGCACATTAAATTATGCTGACAAGGCATAACGGATAGGAAGAGGAGACGAGGATGGTTGGTTGGGTGGAAAAGTGGGTGGCAACGGGGCGGAACGGGCGTGAAGATACAAAAAACAGGGCGGACAAAGTCAGCCACACAGTTAACGTCAAAACTAACACACTGCCCAGAGACGAAGAAAAGCCAACCAAAAGCTGGAAAGCAAAGACGATGACGAACGTGAACGAGGACGATAGAGTGCTGGGGGAGGCTGAGGAAGAGAGGCACAACAATGACACTTTAGATAAAAAAGTGAAAATTTAAAATTGTTTTCTTAAACATAAAGTAGGCTTAAGTGAAAGTGTAAATGCTTTGAAGTTAATATTTTAAGAAGAACAACTATTAATTTTATAATCTGACTTTTTTAAATTTTAAAGAATCATTTTAAACTTTTTTAAACCAAATTTGAATGAAGACCAAGACTATATTAACTCATAAATTCAACTTAGTTATCAAGTAAAGTCTTTAATACACAAATTAAGAACTTTTTTCTGAGTGAACCGGATCCAAAAGAGAGGAAAGATGAGGGCGACCAAAAGACTCTGACGAAAGATGCCATGGGCCAAATGAAGCAGACCCTGATGATGATGATGATTCGAGAGTGGCTTGTTAAAATTCCAACAAAACGACAGACAAAAAAGACAGCCACCCCTGCACACACACACACATACACACACCTCAGTGTCCCTTCTCCATCATAGGATGTCCTGTGACCCCTGCCCCTTCTATGGAATGTGTGCTGCGTTGTTGTCAATGCAATAAAATGAAAATGAAATAAAATAGACAAAATGCTGGCAAGCCAAAGAAGGACAGTCGGATAGATGGATGGACAGGACCAAAAACCATCTCGCAAGCCTCGAGGCCAAATATGGCTGGCAAAAAGTTGCCAAAATGACCAAAATGTAGACTTTTCGATGAACGAAATAATGTTCATATGCGATACAAGAACAAACAGGGGCGAATTCTCAGAAAGAGGGTTCAGATCTGGGAAATTCTTAAATAATTTTCAAAAACAATTTGTTTATTTTTAGAAAGTATAATAACAGCTATAGGTTTTTGGGTTATAAAATTACCATTAGTATTTATACTTAGAAATAAAACATTTTCGTTTTGACCAAAGCCATTGGACTTGAAGAAATCAGCTTGAGTGCATTAATGTCAGGATTACAATGGCTCCTCCACAAGGTTCAGTTTAGCTCTCCTTTAGCCATCTTCAACATTCCATCCAATATATTTTCTGTCACACATTCCCATCCGCCAGCCACATCCACATCCACCGCTCCTGACTTGACACATGTGCCATGGCAGTCCAGCTAACAAAACTTAAATGCCATTAGCCCTCGTCCTGGCACTCGACACTTGGGTCCTGCCACAGAGCGCACGACTGAAGGGCAGCAAAGGGAGGGGGAGTAGAGAATCGCAGGGGGCAAGGGAGCCATGGAGGTCCTGGCAGAAGCGTGCCAGGTAACTAATACACACACTTGCAGGCAACTAAGCTACTGAACGTGCCCACAGGGCAGGGCACTCTTTTCGGGAGGTACGCACAGAAAAACAAGGGCTAAGAAATTTATTTAAATATAGATATTTAATATGTTTTTACTGTTCATGAATAGATATGTAACATTTATGAAGATTTCTTTTAAAGTTTTTAAAAAATTTTTTTTTTAAATTTATAACACAAAGCTATAACATAAATATTTGTTATATAACATAAATATAATATATTTTTTTCTCAGTGTACACTCGCTTTAGCCACCTCTCCTCATTCTCTCTCTTCTCGGCATTTGGGGCTGGAAGGCAAGGCAATTGAAATAACTTCTTCCGCTTGCCTGCGCTGCTTCCGCTGCTTGAATATGTCCCCCAAATCAGCCAGCAACACATTCCTGCTCTCACTCACTCTCTATCTGGCCTTCTTCCTGCCTCACACCCATCCCCATTCCCTAGGCCACCACCCATCATCATCGGTTTGAATTGGCTTTGCTGTTGTTGTTGCCTTTTGCCATTTATTTTATTTCGCTTTAAGTGATTTTGCCAGGCGCCTTGGCAACATGTTGCTGGCAACATTTATGAACTCTCTCTCGAAAGTTGCGAGAGAAATTTGCAAACTTGCGAGTGTGTGTGTGTGGCAAATATCTTCGTGTCTCTTTTTGTTCTTCTTTTTTTTTGTTGCTGCTGCCGAGCGGCAATAAAAAACATTTAAGCACGCATCATTTTATTGAGCGCGCTGCTTGAATCTGACATTTGGACTGCGACGTCGACTGCGACGTCGACTGACTGCGACTGCGAAAGTGGGTGGTAGTTGGGTGGCTGTCTGCTCAGTTTCTCCCAGTGTATAGCTGTGTGAGTGTCGGGGTGAGTGTGCACTTTGTATTAATTTAAATTGCTTTTGGGAATGCCAGATATGAGTTGTTAAAACGGCATAACGATGCATTGCAAATGCCAACAAATTAACTGCAAATTGTTTACATAAAATATATGGCCAAGTATGGAACTAAATTTCTTCTCCAAATATTTGATTTGGTTTAAAATGCCAAGGCAATTTTGGGATAAGTTTGCTGAAAATTTAAACTGTAAGCTTTGCTTTTTTTACGGCTTTCATCTTTACAATTATTGAAATACAACATTTCTCCATAATCACGTATTTCGAATAATAAGTAAAAGTTGAATAATATTAGCTAATTGTCTGTCATTGGTTATCATTTATAACATTTAAAAGTCAGTCAGCTTAAAAACAATAAACAATACTTATCGTTTAACAGCAAGTTTTTATTTTTCGAAGTTTAGTAATTTGTTAAAAATATATTTCATAAGTCATTGGTCTTCCTGGTTATTAATATCCGTCAATTTTTTAATAAACCACAACCATTTATAAACAAACAAATTAGTCATATTTTTAAATATTACAAAGTAATGAATGGGGACTTAGCAAATACTAATTACTTTATCAGCTTTTCTCTTTTTCTCAACTAACTAATCCCAAATATCAACTAAAAAGATCTAAAGTTCTATTTTTGGCTAGTCATAAAATTTAATGGGCCTTCAAAAAGAACATTTTAATGTTAGCTGCTTAAATTAAATTATTTGTAGAGATTCCATAGAACACCCGACACGGCTTGAAGTATGTACGGCTGCAATTTAAAAAATAATAATAATTTCCCTTGTACATTTCACACGCTTTTGACTTAACGAATTAAGTTAAATTGTGTCACACTCAAATGTTGTGCCATAAATTTTCAGCAAGCACTTGCCAAACACAAACGCACGCTCACAATGACAAATGTACAAGGCTGTGCGACACCGCCCATGGCCTCCTTCCCACTTGTTTTCCCCCAACCCCCTGAATTCAGCACTTGAAAACGTATGTGCCGCCTAGTTGGATCCTTCCACTCACTCTATCTCTCTCTAGCTTTCTCTCTCTCCCTTTCTCTCTCTCTTTCGCAATGATTGTGCAACATTTTGTTATGCAAATCACAACGCAGTGCGCCAGGAAATAGGCTACGCCTGACCCACCCAACTAGACTCAACCCAATTCAGCCGAAGCCGAAGCCAAGGCTTGCCGGAGGGTTAAATAAGTTGAACCACACTGAAAAGAAAACTTAAAACTAAATCAATCACCACTTTCCGATTTATGATACATTCTAGTAACTCTTGTTGCCTTTTGTGAATCATGAGAAAAACGATAATAAGTAATCTAAATACGTGAGATTCATCGACTTTGGATTAGTCTATAATCTAGAATAGTACTTAGGATTTTATGGCCTTTTAAATCGTTTCGTAATCTTAGATTTTGCAGAGGTACTAAAACAATTTTGCATTTTTAAGGATTTAATGTGCTAATTAATGTTAGAATAGTAAAGAATACTACATAAAACTTAAAGTTAAATAAGCTGATATCATAAAGTATATTAAATACTAGAACTCTTACTCCTAAAATAGCATTAAAACGTATTCATTATTAAATCCATCCCGTTAATAATCTCCATTTTCTTTCTCTGCAAATTGCCGCACAGGCAGCAAGTGGCAACGGACTGACGCTGTATTTTATTGCATTACTTTTGGGTCTTAGTTGAGGAGGCCAAGCATAGCTAAGGGTAGAGGTCAATGGAAGTGGGGGGGACTGTAAGGTTGGAAAGTAAGAAGAAGTCCGGTGTAAACGAAGCCTTTTGGCCTTCACGTCGAGGGCGGGCACAAATTACATTACCCGACGCCAGTTGGCAGGCAAACCATTAACAAGTTGACGACAAATGTGCAGCTGTTCGAGCTAATCTAAGTTCCCTTTCCCATTCGCACTTTATCTCCACTTTTTCTGTACTAACTTTATTTTACATTTGTTATTTTTTTACTAATTCATTTTTTCTTATTTTTCTATTTTTCAGGCAGCGTGGCCTAAATGATGCCCGAAACTGAACGCGAAGCGCATTTGGAGGCAGCGGAAATGGCTAGCGGTGCCCTAGGGCATAATTATGGCATTGTAAAGGATCAGCAACAGCAGCAGCTTCAGCAACAGCAGCAACAGCAACTTCATCACCTGCAGCAGCAACACCATCAACAGCAGCAACATCAGCACTCCGAACTGTACAAGATGGCATGTAATGGCTATAACTACAGTAGTCCCTTGACTATACCGCCCACATCGATGACCATGGTCAGTCCTATTAGCAGCAGCAAGGAAAAGCTGGTGACCATGTTGCGCGTGCGCGACAACAATAATATGGCCAGTCCGATCTCCGATGGTGCACCCACCACGTTCCTGCAAAAGCAACTGGAGGCGGTCGTGGCTCCCAGGCCAAGTTCAGTGCATCCCCAGCAGCAGCAGCAGCAGCAGCAACAGCAACGCCGTTCGGCCAGCACACCTGCAATCACAACCACACCCGGTCCGCCCACCAATTGGCATGCTCATGTCTATGATCGTTTACCTCCACACCCAACTCCTCACTCCATTGCCGATATTCTGGGCATATCCCTGGTTAAGAAGGATCGACCAGAAGGCACCTTTGATCTCCACGGACCAGCCAAATCACCGAATACCATACTAAAACCATATCAGGATCAGCAACCAATGAGGAGCTCCTCCATTTCAATGAGCGATGCCAGTGAGGAAGACAGTGCCGCAATTGCAGGTGCCCCATCTGTAGCCGCGGCAGCAGCAGCAACTATCACGGCAGCTAGTGTTGCAGCAGCTACTCCGCTTGATCAGCCGCTCAATCTGAGCAAAAAGTCCCGCGATAGCAACAACTCACCCATGCCGACCACCAAACAGAGCCAACTCCTAGGAAAGTCGGCCACCAAGAAGGGTAAGCATTCCATATACACAGGGAAAAAAGAAGGAATAGTTATTTTTTACAATTTAGCTAGAAAAATCTTAAGCAGAAACAGAAGTATTAAGAACTTCTAGTCTTTAATTTCCCTAAACATTTCTTATGACACATATACCTTCCAATTTATGATCAATTTAAGTAGTTTTTTGAAAAGTGTTTCTATTTTTGATCTAATCTTTTTTCCATCTCTCGCATATTGGCGCCGAGCATAGGTAGGATGTGTGTGCGCCGTGTGGCAACGCTCGACGAGCCTGCCAATTGAGCGGAGCGCTGAGCTCTCAACACGCTTCAGCGAAGCGTGCGGCGGGCAACGCGGCGTATGCGTGTTCTGCCAACTTAAATGATGCCCATCGGTATCTTTTTGGCCCGCGCCCATCATCGCTGCGTCCCTCTTTTATTTTTTTGGCCAGGCTAATGGCCAGGTCATTAGAAATTAACACACTCCAGTTAAGACTCGGCTCGTCTGTCAGCTAGTCAATTTTCTATGAATTTTATATGCCATTTACAGTTTAATTACGTTTTCCAAATATGTTTTGAATAGAAAAGTTGATAGTTAAAAGTTTAAAAATGGTTCTTCAATTCAATTTATAGCAATAATCATGCCTTAAATATTCTAACATTATCCTCTTTCCCTACACTTTGGTATATCTTGTTAAATCACTCAAAAAACCTGCCAAAAATCGTGTACAAAATACATTGTTTGCATATATATACATATATTTTAGATCGTTCTTTTTCGATAATTAATAAACTATTGAAATTGTAAATTGGTCAACAAAATGTACAAAATTTAATTAGATGCACTTTTGGCTCATTGCTTTGTTATTTTTATTTTGTATGCGAATGGAAAATGGTTGCCAATTTGAATATGCATTTCGCTTTTGGCTGCATTAAAATGATTTAATTTCGAAAGAGGCCAACGGAATGGCACGAATATATATATAGATGAGTATAGGAAAATATATGAAAATGCAATTAGCAATTGCATTGCCGCAGCAAAAATACAATGAAAGCCATAGAAAATGGCAATCGGTGGGCAAAATAATAAGCAAAGTTGAGAACATACACAATTTGAATAATTTTTCAGCCGCTGTTAATTGCTCAATGTTGTTGTGTGTTCCGTTTTTATTGTTATTAAAATCACGTACCAGACTTGGTTAAAAACAACAACATCAAATCGAATCGAATGACGAACTTCCAGACAACCGATTATTTGACATAGTCATCGGTTAATTTTCGCTTAATTACTTGTTTGCAGCTGCCATAAATGGAACTGCCGTCAAATCAAGCGGGCCAATAAGTGGAGTTTGGCTCTAAGTTCAAGTTTTTATATACAGCAGCACTTTTGTTGTTGTTTGTTTGTTTGTGTTTTGGCCACTTGGCATAACGACATTTAAATACTCACCGCCGTCGCCGACTGCCTGGGCCCATGCAAAATGACATGGCAATTACCAATTGGCGTTAAGAGCTACAGCTACAGGGGCAACGGCAAATATATAAACAAACATTTGTGTAAAAGTTCCAATTGTTGTTGTTGTTGTTGTTGTGTTTTTATTGTTGTTGCTCTAATTGCACAAGTTGCGGGCTTTTAACGCTTGGCCAGCTTGTTGTTTTTCCGCTTTTGTTTTGCCATTTAGTTTTATTGATTTCGCGCCATTGGGGCGCCCTTTACACTCCATTGGCATCGTCTCTCATTTCTCTAGGGAAGGCGGCTGAAGAGGAGGAGGGGGTTTAGTAGGGTGGTTCATTTCAGTTCGATAGTGAAAATTGCCAATTGCCAATTGCCATTGGCGACAACGACAATGGCACTGATGTCGCCACTGCTACCGCCTCCACCGCCCCCGCCCGCCTAATTAATCACAGTGTCATGCATATGAGGCCGTCGGGGCCCACGCGGCGTATTAGCAATGCGACAAATGGCAGCAAACGACAGAAGCACCACGAATACACACACCCAAACAAACAGCCACACACAAACATAGGCGATATCGAGCGTTTTGCATTTAACTGTCAATTAGATTTCAATTATGCATTGGTAATTGAAGTTGTCCAGGCAACGTTCGACTCATGCCAGACACGTTTTGGCCCCGTCAAGTCGAAAAAGCCCCGGCCAAAAGCATATGGCACTTATAGCACAGTTAACACTTGTTTTCGCCCGATATTACAAGTCGGTCATTGGTTAATAACGAAGATAAACTGCAATCCCTACTTAGGTTTCAAGAAAATTTACAAAAATTCTATAAAGAGTACTTACTATATATCATAGTTCCATTTCCCCATTAACTTGTTCTCTACAAGTTGTAACCCACCTAATCTTCGAGTGAAAAAGTCAAAAACAAAAGCAAAAGCTTATGGCAAATGGTAAACAAATGGCAAACAAATGGCTAATGGAAAGAGTAGAAGGAAGTAGAAAGGGGGGAAAGCATATAGCTGAGGAATGGAATGGAACAATGTGCATAACAAAAGGCAGTTGGCCCAGTCAATGGCTGTTACATTTGACGGGCTAATTGCAAAAGCGGTTATGAAATGACAGCCAAGAGACCCAATTGAGGTTAAACAGCTGCGATTCGATAGAAAAGTCAGGCAAACATGGCCAAGACAAATATGCATACTCATATATGGCCAACAGTTTTGTTTTCCATTTCATTGCCTTATTTTTATTATTTTTATTGTTACAGAGAGCTCTGGCAAGCCAGCGGCCAAGAAAAAGAAGTTAACGCCCAATGTTGCAACAACGGTGGCTTTGCCACCGGACATTAGTCCCACTGGCAGTAGCGACAGTCTGATGCGGGACAAGATGATGGCCAACAATAATAGTTCGCCGGGCAGCAATGCCAATCCACAGATGCAGAGCAATGCTAATAGCACATTGGAAACAACCGAGGATGACTCAGATTCTGGTTCAACCGATGCCAGACGAAAGAAGAAGGCTCGAACTACATTCACCGGAAGACAGATTTTCGAGCTGGAGAAACAGTTTGAGGTGAAGAAGTATCTCAGCTCCAGCGAGCGCACTGATATGGCCAAGCTGCTGATGGTCACTGAAACGCAGGTAAGATGTCTCTAAAGAACTTGAATATCGAATTATATCTGAATTAAACAGTAAACTAAATCTTTCAATCAAAAGATAACATCAACTTTAAGCCACAAAGAAAAGTTTTAGCTCTAAAAAGAAAATTGCAATTTAAATTATCTCAAGATAGCCATCATCACTATTATTTTCCCAATGCTGAAAACACTTCATATAAATGTGCTTAGTTTTGCAAATTTCAACTAAAATACATAATGTTTTTTGGGGATTATTTTGGTTCATTTAATGTGACAATATTTTCCTGGCCAAAGCTAGCTCGAAAAGCGCAATCGCAATTGTGGCCATTTAATTAAATTAAACACTTTTTAAAACCCCTCTCGCTCAATAATCCCGATCTAATGTGCATATTTACTCATAAATATTCCATTGTCTGTGCTTCTCTGCGTATGCTTATAATATTTAATTTGCCTAATTTGCACACGGAAGTGCACAATCAAAACCAAAAATAATAATCAAAATTAAATGGTATTTATTTTCGATATAAAGTACAATACCTAACAAAGAAATATTATCAGTCAGCAGAATATTATTATACAAAATAAATATGTTTAATTTTAAAAAAATATAAACTATAATTTAACTATAAAAAATGAAATACTGCCTATATAGACTTATTTAAACATAATTTCAATCTGATTTGGCTTTACAACTTTGACACTAACTGTAGCCAAAGGCGGAACAAAAACCATAATAGGCTAAATTAAATGCATAATATGGAATATATTTTGTGGAAAAAAATGAACTCTCCGATCCTGATGTTTGCATTAGTTTAATCCGCATTTATTTACCCAACTCAAAATGTCCCCTGGAGTCATGAAATATATCGTAATTTAATTGAAGCGCATAACAAGAGGAAGCAAGGTGTGATGCTGCTTAATGCCTCAGTAATTATTATGCCAAATTGTATTTTGTTGCTGTTGTTGCACTTGCAACAGCAGCTGCCCGAACATGTGATTTTTGTGAAGGGGTATTAAGAGGGGAGGACAAATTTACAATTTGCATGGAAACCCGAAAATGCCTTAAAGCACAAGCACAACAAACTCACACACTCGAATGAACATAAACACACACACACACCACACACATATAGAGAGAGTCGCCTGATTGTGAAATAAATTGAGATTTATTGACTAATTAGAATAAATTAACTTTGCAGCAAGGACATGCCCCGGGGCCCAACTGCTGTCAGCCAATTAAGAGCAAGAACAAAATTTATGTACAAAACCACACACACACAGGCACAACCACATGATTACCAGAGTGTTTGCTCTTTAAGAGGCGCTAAATTAATCAAAACTTGAGCATTTATAGTTAAGTATAAGGCAATGGGCTTAGGAAACCCTTTGCGGTTTCTCTGTCCCAAACAGGATATTTCGGGCAACCGCTTAAGTCGTTTGTTATCTGCATTTGCAGTTGACAGTTCAGAGTTCAAATAAACTTAGCTTCAGCTTTAACTACTAGCTGTATTATAAAACTTTTTCCGTGTAATCATCTGATTGAATTTTTATGATACTATACTAATGTGCACAACCTTTGATAACCCACCTCAGTTCGTAAATATTTCCATTAGATTCGTGGCTCATTAGTTGTCAAATTAGATATTGCAATAAATTGTAACATATTTACTAAATATAAGTTTACTGAATAGATGGTCTACGTAAATAGAGTCTAGAGTTAAAAGAAAGAAAACTACTTTCCCTGCATTTATTTAATAGCTTTCAAACAAACGATCCAATTAAATGAAATAAGCAATTATTTATTACTTTATAACCCACAAACGAATATATATATATCCTACAGTTGGAGTTCTAGGTCCTCGCCAATCCTTACAAAGCTGTCAAAACTTGGGGCTGTCAATGCAAACCCGATTTGCATTAATAATCTCACGTTACGCATACGCCGTGTGGTAGCTCAAATGCCATAAGACTAATTGGCTGCCATGGCAAAAGACCCAGTCAGATAAACACACAAACGCACACAAAGGCAATGGTGGAATGAGGCTTGTATATACACAGCTATAGATATAGATATAGATATAGATGTAAATGTAGATGGAAACCAAGCAAATTGGCCATGGCAACAACAAGGATATGGCGGCGGAGTCACATCGAAATTCTTGCTTAATTAAATTACATTCTCCATCAAGTCAATTAATTACAAGTTGATATACACATATAAACACCAAGGATCCTGCAATGTGTGTACACTAAACGAAATGCTAACTAATTGTCAATTAAATTTTGATACTTTTTGCATCATAAAACTAGAATTCAATCAATTTCAAAATATCCAATTTATATAGAATTTTCCCTCAGTACTTTTTGTATGATTTCCAACTGTCTGTGTGAGCCAAAATGTTATGCATGTCGACATGTTCAAGTGTTTTGTCTATGTTATTAATATTATAAGCTCGGTCCAGTCATTTATCATCCTGGCAAAGGAGAGTGTGTGTGTGTGTATGTATTTGTCTGTGTTTGTGTGCGTGAGAAACCGACGTCAATTCAAGTGCAATGCACAGATTTTCCACTCAGTACATGTGTGTGTGTGTGTGTCCGCTTCTGTGTTTATATATAAAACACGGTCAGGGCACATAAACATGTATGTGTTAATCACAGCAATAATATCAGCAAATTAACTGCAGGACATGGGTCTCAGTGTGTGCGAGTGTGTATGTGTGTGTGTCTGCGTTGGTATCCTGCTGTGGCCAGGCATTAAGCCTCTTGGCCATTTGCATTGGCACTTGCCAATTTTCCCATCGACCGCTCACACACACTGGATCAAGTTCTGCAGCGAGAGATTTACGTTAATTGGAATCAAATTACCAACTCCTTTCGTAATTGCCAGCCAGCATGTTCGATTGCAGTTGAAAACTTATAATTATACTTTGTATAATCGGATCAAGGTATCTGATTTTCTTGATTTTCTTGGGAAATTCTTAGCTGAGTGATTATTAAAAAGTCTGCTAAATAATGGAATTGTTTTTGCCTAACAACTAAGTTAAATCTTTATATTTTTCATGAAATTCTTTAAAGTAAATTTAACTTGAGACCATTTAAAAAAAAAATTTCTGACTTTGATTTAGTTTATCTAAGAAAATAGAACTATTATATCTGGAAAAACAACACTACACAGCTAACACAGTGCTTAACCCTAAATAAACATAAAACAAACCAAAAACCAGAGACAAAGTAGTGAAAGAGTCATAAAAAGTGGCTTTAAATAGACTCCACATCGGCCATAATGTGGTTCTCATATGGGTTGCCTTCTGGACTTGTTCGTAGAAATGGCGATGAGATGGTAGCCGGATGAGGTGGTGGCACCCATTGGCACCACAAACTCTTTCCATGCTGTGTGTTCCTCATCCAGGGAACGGCACTCGTGTCTGCATCGTCTGTCATCAACAAACTGTAAAATAGCCTTAAGCCAGATAAAAATCAATTAATTACGCGTAGATGCGGCTGTCCCAACTGCAACCGCTGCACCACCCCCTGGGGCACACAAACACACACAGCGACACACACGCACATTCACCCACACTCAGGCAAACTGACAACATTGTAATTGTGTTGCGATTACCAAACGAACGTCACGCGCCAAACGCAGCAAATTACATTTGCATATTAGTGCCAGCGGCGTGGAGAGAGGAAGAGGAGACTGCATCAAAATGTGGAGCCTTGGGTGGTACTGGGGGGGTGGTGGTGCAACATACAGGGGCATATAATGCCGCATTGATAGCATAGGGGCGTGTGCTGGCAAGTGCTCGTTTGCGGTCTGCAGTGCAACTGTCTCGACAATTTGCATTAGGCATTTCATTTTAAATGTTTGCCATCGTTCGCTCATAAACCCGAATGTAATTGCCACTCAGGTGCGACCTAAATGTTGATTTACTCTCCATCGAACAAGTTTTGGGATTGAATTTGATTGCAGTGGAATCGTCATCACTTGATTTTACGCATCAGATTAATGTGCTGATATGGTATATTAGGCAATGCGAATGGGTTAATATGGGATATTATACTATAAACTATGTTTCTTAGGAAATCAGATAAAAAATGTACTAAGTTTGTCTTAATAAAATAATACAAAAAAATCTTTAAAACAAGTGAAACGTCAAGTGAAACGTCACATACCAAACTCCTCTACAGATGTTAACTATGCCATTTTAACCTCTGATTTTGGCCAAACTATCTCCCTATGCCTGTGTTTGCTTTTGGTTTATATGGTCAATTGCATGGTCGTTGGTTGGCCCTAGCGATTCTGGGCCAGAAAACAAGCAGCGTGTTCACTGGCAGTTGGCCAAATGACAAATGCGATAATTAAATTAAACTGCTGCCACAAGCAGCACAAACAAATCAAATGGCAATTCATCTTTGAGGACACCGCAACACCACTATACTATAATGGTGACCCAGCTACTAGAGTGTGGTGCCAGTTTCCAGTTTTCAGTTTTCAGTTTTCCATCCTTATTTACATTCAGGACCTGCTGTTTGTGTCATTGAAAAGGATAAAAAAAAATGATATGCTGCATTAAATGAAATTTTTGTGTGGACGAGTATATGTGCGAAGTAAACAAGGACTTGGGCAGCTGGAGATTATTGCCCTTGTCTTTTATTATTATTGTTAATATTGCCATTGATATCAATCAGTTGCAGTTTGCCAAAATGAATTTCAGTATGCATTTCACAAATAATTCTGTCATTTGCAAACATTGAAACAATGAAAAAGTTGTATTCCCTGCTTGTTGGGCAATAAAATTAAATTCGAAAAAAAATATACTTGCCCAAAAGCCTGAATATTATTGATAATAAAGTGATTATTTATTGCTTTAAGAAAATGTATATGGAACACCATTTATTTAATGGCCACCAGGCCATTAAAGTCTTAATGTTATTCCTAGTTAAAAGCAAAAGGTATTTGGTATATGGAAAATCTACTTAAGCACCAATAAATCGTAGTTTTAA